TGCAGATGCCCAGTTGCTTCAGCACGCCGGTGTGGGCTGCTGATCTTGCCTTGGTACAGCGCAGACCTTGCACAGGTGGCATTGTGGTGGTCAAAAAGTCCGGAGGGCGTGCGACTGGCTAGGGACACGCATGTTGTTTTTGTTTTGGAACCCGTCCAGTCGGATTGGGTTGAATGGGTATGATTTGGTTTGTTTTGGATTCTGTACGTGTAGCTGACCATGACTAGGGACACTGTTTGGAAAGAACCAGCGGTTGGACTGGGTTGACTGGGTGTGACTTGTTTTGTTTTGGGATCCGTACATGTAGCTGACCATGGTTTGAAGGCGCTAGCTAGCAAGCCAGAGAGCGATAAAGGTACACCATGGAATGGATTTTTTGGGGTTGGAAATTGTGGCCATGGCTGAACAAACATCGAGGAGAGCTTCCCTAAGGACCATGGACGCGATGTGTTTCCGCAGCCGTTTCCATGATTGGCAAATGCACACGACTCATCGCCCCCAGAGAACGCACTTGTAGTTGCTTCTTATTTGAGGTGTACATCGAGATGGAGAGACAGCTCAGAATTGGTGCGCATGCGTTGAAGCGCTCATGCTTTTCTGTCCGTTGCGTGTGGTGGTGTGACCCGCGTCGCGGTGGAAATTGCAAATTCGAAGTCTTGTGTAACTACATTCACTCCGACGCGCGGTGGTGTGACCCGCGTTCCTTGCTCTTGCCGGGAGGCATCGATCTGCGTGCGTCGCTGTGGGCCGCGCAAACAGCCGGGACATGCGCTTGCCTTGCCCCGATGAGGAACAGTTTCGTTGTTTTTGCGCGGAGGAGCACACCAAATGTTGGAAGACATGATTTTGACTTTGAAAACACCACCCACTTCGCGTGCCCGCACCAGCTGCACTTAACTTTCGCTTGCAAATGCCCAGTTGCTTCAGCACGCCGGTGTGGGCTGGTGATCTTGCTTTGGCATAGACACAACCCAGTACGCTGTTGTGAGCTGCTGATCCTGCAGGGAGCACAGACCTTGCACAGGTGGCGCTGTGTGTGTGTGCGTCAAAAGTCCGGAGCGCATGCGTTTGGCTGAGTGAGGGACACGAGGGACACGCATGGTGGAGAGAACGTGGGCACCCCTATAGGTCAATGTGTTCTTATAAAAACTTCCGCCGCCGGCTTGCCCGGGAACTGCTTGTACAGTGCCCCAGCCGCTTCCCAAGGGTACATCGAACAACCCCTCGAGGTGGTACCGGACTCGGAGCCACGCGGGCCGGAAATGAGTCTCAGTTTGTTGCTTGAGTGCTCTTATATTGTGCTACATGTTTTGAATAGATCTACTTATAGGACCGGATAACCCGAATGTTGACAACTTCACCAGACACAGGAGCGGACAATTGGTGGTTGGTGGGTGACGATTGGTTGGTGGCAATTGGTTGGTGGCAGTTTGTTGGTGGCAATTGGTTGGTGGAAGTTTGTTGGCGAACAACTGGTGGGTGGTGGCAGTTTGTTGGTGGCAATTGGTTGGTGGCAGTTTGTTGGTGACAATTGGTGGGTGGCAATTGGGTGACAATTGGTTGGTAGCAATTGGTTGGTGACAATTGGTGGGTGGATGTGGGTGGCAATTGGTTGGTGGCAGCTTGTTGGTGGCAATTGGTTGGTGACAGTTGATGGGTGAAAACTGGTGGGTGGCAATTGGTGGCGAGCTGCGGCGGCCCAGCGACCTCAGGGCGCATCCGAGTTTTTGGAGAACACCAAGTACCGCACCTGCCACGCAAATCACACCGGCAAAGCTGCGGCGATCCAGCGACCCCAGGGCGTACATCCGACCCCTTGGAGAGCACCAGGTACCGCAACTGCCACGCAAATCACGCCGGCAAAGCCTTAAAGCTGCAGCGACCAAGCGGCCCCAAGGGCGTACATCCGACCCCTTGGAGAGCACCAAGTACCGCGCCTGCCACGCAAATCACACCGGCAAAGCTGCGGCGACCAAGCGACCCCAGGCGTACATCCGACCCCTTGGAGAGCGCAAAGTATACCGCGCCTGCCACGCAAATCACACCGGCAAAGCTGCGACCAAGCGACCCCAGGGCGTACGTCCGACCCCTTGGAGACCACCAAGTACCGCGCCTGCCACGCAAATCGCAACGGCAAAGCTGTGGCGACCGGGCAAAGCTGCGACCCCGAGGCGTACATCCGACCCCTTGGAGAGCAGCAAGCACCGCGCAAATCATAGCGGCACAGCTGCGGCGGCCAAGCGACCCCAGGGCGTACATCCGAGCCCTTGGAGAGCACCAAGTACCGCGCCCCACGCAAATCACACCGGCAAAGCTGCGGCGACCCAGCAATCCCAGGGCGTACGTCCGACCCCTTGAAGAGCACCAGGTACCGCGCCTGCCACGCAAATCATGCCGGCAAAGCCTCAAAGCTGCAGCGACCAAGCGGCCCCAAGGGCGTACATCCGACCCCTTGGAGAGCACCAAGTACCGCGACCAAGCGACCCCAGGCAAAGTATACCGCGCCTGCCACGCAAATCACACCGGCAAAGCTGCGACCAAGCGACCCCAGGGCGTACGCCCGACCCCTTGGAGAGCACCAAGTACCGCGCCTGCCACGCAAATCACACCGGCAAAAGTGCGGCGACCCAGCAATCCCAGGGCGTACATCCGGTGTCCTCCAAAGTACTGCAATCACAGCGGCACAGACACAAATTGGTTGGTGACAATTTGTGGGTAGCCCTATCTTGGTGGGGTGACAGTTGGTTGGTGACAATTGGTGGGTGGCAGTTGGTTGGTAGCAATTGGTTGATGACAATCGGTTGATGACAATTGGTTGGTGACAATTATATAGTTGGTGACAACTTGTTGGTGGCAGTTGGTTGATGACAATCGGTTGATGACAGTTGGTTGGCGACAATGGGTTGATGACAATTGGTTGGTGACAATTAGTTGGTGACAATTTGTTGGTGGTAGTTGGTTGGTGGCAATTGGTTGGTGACAATTGGTTGATGACAGTCGGTTGATGACAATTGGTTGGTGACAATTGGTTGGTGACAATTTGTTGGTGGTAGTTGGTTAATGACGGGAGGCGCAAAAGCCCCACACGTCAATGTGGGTAAAAACATAATTTCGTTGTAATTGAAGCGTTTGTAGATCATCGCAAAAAATCCCGCCTTGCGAGGCTTTGGGCCACTTGGCCTGCAACATAAAGAACCCCCGTTTGCACCAGAACTGCTTTACAAAAGCTGCTTTTTGCGCTGGGTTCCATACAGGGTGTCTCCTTCTTCACCAGGTTTGCCTAAGATCTTGACAACTTGCAATAACATTCTGTGCCAATTAGAAATGAGACAATGGTGCAGCCCATTTGGCCCAAGCTCTCTGCGTGTAGGGGGCTTCCTTGAGCGCACTGGCCTGACAAAATTCGTGAACTTCGTAAGATCACAGTTTCCATCCCGCTAGGCCCACCCTCTTGGCTGCGGCGGCTCGAAATTGTCATCCTGTCACCGTCAGCTCTGAAACTCAAACGGCATTCTCACTCGTTCTCGTTTTCAAGTTGTTCGCCGGGTGAGCTGAAGGTGCTCCGTCCATTACATCTTCGACATCCATGGTTTCGTCAGACCCTTTCCTTGCCAAAAAGCTCAAGTGCTCTTTTATTCAACTTCAACCAGCCCTTTGGAGTGGCCATTGAATTTTTAAGTCGACTGCTTGGTGGCGGTGAGCAATGGGTTCCTGGCAAGTTCACTTGAAAAGTGAAGAGCTCGAAGCGGCACAACTACCCTGAAGCAAAGTTGAAGCTAACAACGCGCAGGAACTCAGAATCTTGTCGTGATGTGGGAGCACACCTCCGGCCTGTTGGGAAAAGAATCAAGCTAAAAATCTGCGAGCATCAAACCCGAACTCTTTGAGCGACCGACGTTTCCGCAATTTCATCCACAATCCGGCTGCAAGCATAACGCGGCGCAAATGGAATGCACGCCGCCGCCGGCTCAGCATGCGAAGCCTCACTGGTGAAATTCAATTTCGGACCCCAAAACAGCAACCGCTTGAGCAATGTTGAGTGGCCCGCTTGCAGGATCACAAGCCATCCATCCCAACCCGCACCCATCTTGAGCCAAAGCCCAGCGCCGCTACCTGTGCAAAAGGCCCTGGGCGAACGACCTGCGCAAAGTGAGCGCAAATCTTGACAATCCAACGTAGCCTGCAGCCCTGTTGGCTCAAATGGGTCCTGCCATCCAAAGGGCTTGGCTCTTCAGAGATGGGCAGGCTCTTTCCACGAAGTGTGCATGGATGAGAAGCGAAACAAACGCAACATCAACAGTGTATATATGTATATATTTCTTTTGCAATTTGAATGTGCAAGGATGCAAAAGAACTACGTGACACATTATGGGGGTGCAGCGTTAAGTCTTGGGGATTCGCTGGGATTCCCAATAACATGAAAAACCAGATTCCTGTCCGCATGAAACTTCAATGTCTGGAAAGATCTGGGAAGAAACCCTTTCAAACATGCATGCGCAGAAACATGTGCAATGCATTGATTGAAGACATGATCTGCCTCTGTTGAATGGTCAGCGCCAATGTCTTGAATCGCTTCAATGCCAAAGACATGCGTATGAAAACTGCTTTAAACACCAGTTCACATGGCCAAAATGGGGTTGGATATCCTAAGTGCGGATTCGACCCTGGTTCTGTTGGGTTTTTGGCTCTCTGCCCACGAGAGCTTATTTGTCCTTGCGTCTGGTTCCCAGCGGTTGATGCTGCAACAACAGGGATCATTCTTGTTCTCTTCAGCTAGGCTGGACATGTACCCAACGAAGCCGGCCCCACATATGGTTTCTAGGAGGACGCGCACATGACCCCTATAGGCTGACATGGCCAGAGTGCTTGACCGACATCTCTGCCTGTTTGTTCCGAGGACGCGGCAAGAACAACTGCTCTATGAACTTGTAATTGGACTAGAGCAGCGTTGGCTTTGGGTCCTGCCGCAGCTTTGAGCTTATAGATCTTGGAGGTGGTAGCAGCCAAGGGTATCGTGTTCATGCTGTCAGTGGCGTTGACCCAGAAACTTCGTGTTATGAGTCGGGTGGATGTTCAATGGGATGTGGGTTCCAAGTCGCTCCAAGAATATATCCAAGGTTAAGTGCTTCAAGTGCAATCAAAAAGGGCGTCTCCCAAGGCAAAGGCGAAAGCAAGTGCCAATAAAAACCGATTATATATATAGAGGTTGCATTGGAGGTTGCAAGAAAGGCATGCGGCATGATGCATAATTCGCTGATGGCGAAGGCGGTGAAGATGATGAGGGTGAACGCAAGGCCAGGAGAGATCTGAAGGCTGGCCTGATGCGTTTGAAGGTGGTGCGATGGTGCCCCTAATTTGTTTGTCTCTAGTGCACCCTGTCACAAAGTCGAGGGTACAACGACTGAAGGAATCTCAAACGCAAGTATGGCGAATCCAAATTAGATGAACGCAACAGGCCTTGCAACTTTCACATTGCCAGTGTTTTCTTTATTTGATCCATCATCACGGAACTGTATGACTGGCCATTGAAACGGGCTGAGACATGTGCTTCAAATCTGCTGACACTTTCATCAACGAATCTGCGTGTTGTTTCTGCTAGCCACCTACTGGATCGATCTGATTGCCCAAGCCGTGTTTGTCCTCAACTGCAGGGTTTGGAGAGCAGACTTGCAGTCTGTGGCCAACAAGGCACGCAAGCGGGGCTCACATGATGGGAGGAGGATCCTGTTGGAACACACGATTGGATCATTTTTGAAACACATCGAGTTCAGCCCGTTCAGGGCCACTTCTGAACGCATGATTAGGGTTATTTTGGAACACAAGCATGCGTCCGCAAGGTCGTACTCCTTTTGGACAAGGCGAACGTCCACCCAGGCCCAGCTTCGATAGATGGGACCGGGCCGGTCGGACCGGAGTCTTGTATAAACGGAAAGGTTGCAGATTTCGTGGTGAAGGAGGGTGGTTGGGGGAGGCCACAGCGCCTCCCCGACAAAGAGCGCACAAGTTGTGAAAGAAATGGGGCAAACACTCCTGTCTGCTTGTTGGAATCGAGTGGGCGCAAAAGATGTGCTACATTGCCTCTCTTCTCTACATTTTACCTTTCGGTGGCCCACCAAGGGCATACTCCAAGTTGGAAACTCCTTCCTGTTCTATCCCCGTGTGGCCCACAAAAGGTATGTCAAGTTGTACATGGAGGACTTGGTGGACGCCAAGAACCAGCTAATGTTCAAACGCAGCAGTACCTCACAATGCAGCATGCATTGGCTTGGATATCAAAAGCTACATCGTTCCAGAAGCACTTGTCCAACGGCTCATCTCGCGGGAAGGTCGCACCATCGCAAAAGAACAGCGCGCAATTGCAGAACATCAAGAGGAAGCTCACTACCCTGGTGCACACATACAGCGCTGGCAAGGGGAGATGCGGCCTAGTTGGCCAGCAGAGGCGCAGCCGCAGTCATAGCCTCGCAAGGGTTATGAGAGAGGAGGACGAAGCCAGGCAGAAGGTGGAGCGTGAAACCACCATGGAGGCCGAGATAGACGAGGTGAAGCCACCGACGCTGCGGCAAGCAGAATGACCAGGTTGAGATCGCCATTAAGATCCTCAAGGAGATGAATGGGACTGGTCAACCAAATTCGAGGGACGAGGTCAGGGAGCCGAATGCTCCACCAGAAAGGCACAACCCTCTCGAGAAGAAGAACCGGAACACACCTGAGAAGCTCTTCCCGGTCCATTGTGGAGGCAAACGAGAAGACGGAAACCTGATCCGCCCAGCCGAGAACGCAGGTAAGCGCAACCCATTGATTTCGAATGATGGGATCGCGGGGCAATTGTTCGGGCTGGGGGGAAAGATGGATGGAGACTCAAATGGTCCATGCCTTGGAGGGGATCAGAAAGCTCTGAGGAGGGCTTAGATGTCTACTTGGCCCGCGCTTCAACACCCTCACCGTGGAGGTATGCCCCGATGTCACTGGCAAGGAGCTCTTTGGCGCATTGAGACGGGCCTGCTCACACGCTGAGGCAAAGCTGCAGCAGATTGAACGGCCTTGCTTGGTGACGAATGGCATCGCGTATGGGCTGGCAGCAATGCAACATGGAGGAAAGGACCACACGACCTTGGCGCCATGGCCGCTCAGTTAAGGACGACAAGATCGAGCCCAAGCCCCGATACCCAACACATTTTGCTACCTGAGATCAAGACGATCGGGTCGGTGTTAGGGCTAGGGCGCAAGAAAGAGCGGCTCAACGCTTTGGATCAGATCGAGTGAGAGCTCACGAGATTCCGCCGTATGGCCTGAGAACTACTGCTGCTACAGCCTGTGGAAGGAACTCAAAGCCGCCTGGACTGAGGAAAACTTCGTAAGAGCCGCCGACAGCTCAACACTGACGACCCGCGCAAGGAGGACTTGAAGTTTGTTGCACTTGCACCCGATAGCGGTTTCCACTTACCTCGCTCACCCCGACGGCTACTACCAGCAAGTTTGCGTGCCACGCCAAGCGAAGGGCATCATGTATGGTCAGCTACACAAAAAGCGACAAGCGCCCAAGGTTGGAGGGGATCCTCACGGAGCTGAAGGTGAAGAAGGCCTACCCGGCTGGCAAACGGCTTCGACCTACGGTCAAACACGGCCCCGCACCAATGAAGGAAAGCCCATTTGGTGGGATGGGGCCACTCATATGGGACGCAGCCGTGGGAAGGATTGCAATCATGCGCACCAGCCCATCACCACCACCAAGGGCCTGCGTTGGACCGTGTTGGCACAGCTGATACGACGTGGAGGCTTGAAGAGTGGGTTGATGGCCGAATTGCACAGCTGAGAGCTCAGGCAAAGTCAGAGCGCGATGAGAAGGTGAAGGACGGTGGTGGGCAGAAGGTTGGCCACCCCGGAAGAATACGAAGGAGTCCAGTACACAGCTCGAGGACGAGTTGAGGGAGTTGACACGAGAACCTGATGCAGACTGGCTTAAGGACCCAATGCTCACTATCTGGGAGAGAAGGGCTGAACATCCGGAAGCCCAGTGTTGCCTGAAGCTCGAGAAGGGAGGAGTCTTTGCAAATATTGGTCCAGCTACCTTCAATCCACATGTTCGAGGGAGGATGCTGAACGCAGTTGGGAAGGGATGCCCTGAACTAGCACAAGAAGCCGACAAGGTCTTGAGTCAAGAGCGCTCGGTTGGTTGGGTCGATGATGAAAGGCAAGCTTGGATCAGCGCACCCGTGTGGCGCAAAGACAAGGCCTATGGTGAAGGGAAGTGTTCGAATTCCAATGCGGCGATGAGCGGCATTGTTGGCGCTACCTGGACTACAAGGACAAGCTCCGACGAACTCGCGAGCGCTTTGGGACTACAACCCGGAGAAGATGAAGAGTGTCAATGCATTGTTCTTCACCCAGCAGCTAGAGTCCGGAGTCCTCCTTTGGCTTTGGGAAGGCGATTGGGATCCTGAGCGCTCACCTACGATTGAGGAGGTCAGAAAGCACTGCTCTTTCGCGCAGGCCGTTGGGATGCAGCGAAGGCGATTGCCGAGCCTGGAGACCCAGCACCGTGAATTGGAGCTAGTGACTTCGAGCCCATCACGACAAGGACTTGACCACTGCCTCTTCCACGCCTTTCTCCTGGACGAGCTCAAGGAGGTTACGCTGCAATGCTGGAGGGTAAACTGCCGCGGACGTTGCCAAGTCGACCACCTGGTAGGAAGCCTGTTCTTGATCCACGTTGGGCGAATGAGAAGGAAGAGTCCATCAAGGTAGCTGCCCAACTGACATAAAGCGGGCAAGCAGATCGTGAATTGGCCATGTGAATGCTGGAGGGAATTCCTGGCAAATGAAGACGCAGCACCCTTGCTCCCCGGGAAGCTCCATGGTAGCTGTGGCGGTGCCTCCCCCTGCTTGGGATGCTTGGGGTTGTTGTCGAAGCATCGCGGGCATTCAACGAGCACCCGATCGACGCGCAGGAGCTGATCCTCATGGGAGCCCACACGCCTCTCAAACATCGGCCATCGTTTGCCTATGAAATCCGGGCGCAAGAGGTTTTTGCAGGCTCAGGGACATGGACACGGGCAATGCAAGAAGCTCGCGTTGCCGCAGACGAGCCGGTTGAGTTGTTCGGTGTCCCACTTCAGAAGCGCGACCGGCGCGACCAGTTCGACCTCAAGGACGCTTCCGTGGCAAACCGCCACGTTGGAGCTCCCAGGTCCAAGCACAGCGAACATCTGGGAGTTTGGCGCGTAAATCGGTGGGTACAATGAGAGCTCCAGTGGATTGCTGTAGACGCTGAACAGCAGGCTGATCGACGGCATGGGCGACTCAAGCACGAACTCCTTGTCGTGGGCGTAGAGCTGCTCGCGCATCCGGCAGGTCAGCTCGTAGAAGAGTTGCCCTCCTCCTCACTGACGGTGGGAACGGGCCCTACTTCAGGCGAGGCGAAGGTGCGTTGAGGAGGTTGAAGTCGCAGTAGCTGGTGCATGGGGCTCATCACCAAGCGACCGAGTTGGATCGCATGGACGCCATCCCACTCCCTTCTTGACCTGCGTCCGCGTTTCATCGCGACCAGAATCGGCAGGTGCTTCGGCAGTCTGTGCGCAAGGGCAGGGCTTCGGCTGCGACCCGAAGGTTTTCCTGGTGAAGCGGCGGCGAAAGCCTTGTAGCATCCCGTTGGGGTGTGGGCTATCTTTGCGAGCTCCAGATCCTCTTTGTTCGCAGAGGTGGGGAACTCTCCATGACGCGCTCCTTTGGATGCCTTGTGGCAGGTCAACACTCCGCAGTTCCTCTTGGCGGAGGCACTCTGATAAACCTGACGGTGATGTCCACAAAGAGGTGCTCGAACCAGTCGCCCCGGTCCCGGAGGCCATCTGGAGCCAAAGGTCTCATCTCGCTACTCCACCTCGGACTCGGAGTCGGGGTCCAGAAGGCGTTCATGCCCATCTTCATCTCTTATGACACGGCTCACCTTTTTTGCACAGCATAGGCGGCAACAACATCGGGCCAAGCGCGCAATGAGCCCCAGAATGAATGCGCCATACTCCACGACCTAGTCCAATGAACCGTGGTGAACCAT